TTTCGCCGTCTATTTCCCTTAGTTAGCAGATTTGGGAGAACTTCTCCCAAGACGGTGTTGTGGACGGGAAATTGACAACAGACTTAATCTTTACCTTAAGGCAGATCCTCAAGACCGCTCCCAATACTATTGACGAGCTATGGAAGATTGTGGTCGAGAGTGGTTTTCCCGAGAAACTAATCAGACTGATCAAGGCTACAGTGGATGGTGAACAGTCCTGTTTGTAGATATTGGGTATGTTTTCGGACTCGTTTGAAACATGTCAAGGACTTCGTCAAGGCGATGGTCTTACCTGCCTCCTGTTTAACATTGCACTAGAAGGTGTTATGAAGTGTGCTTCACAGATGACGTGTACATTATCGAAATAACATTTTAGGCTGTGGCATGGCAGTAAACCAGCAGCAAAGGTTGGGTTAAAGATTAATACGTCGAAGACAATATATTTGTTGGCCCACGCAAAAAAAAAACCATTCCGGTTTTCGTGAACAAAAAATCACGATAACCTGAATTGCTTTCATTTGAATTCATGACTTAGCTCCCGTAAACGTGATCGAGTAAATCACATTTTCTTTAAATAGGGTTTTTGATCTAATTTCCGTCCTACTAAGCACAAGCCGAGCTTTACCTCTTTTTTCTGAACGAGTTTAAACAAAAAAAATGAAGTATTTCTGTCAAAGATGACTTCTAAATTTATTCACCTTTCCATACGTATCGTTGGATTTGATAAAGAGTCACAAATTGTTGAGATATTGTTTAAAATCTAATACTGCTTCTTGATTCTAAATTCGTTCTACAAGTTTCAATTCCGTCCTGACGGGCTCCACAAGACCTTGAGGTTTGGTAGACTTCGCCCCCGCACTACCATGTACAAGCCGCTAATAATACCGGCAGTTTTGAACGAGCACCAGTCGTGGACAATGCTCGGGGTTTTCAAACTACGTGTGTTTAGAACGAAATTTTTGGTGGGGTATATGAAAACGGCGTAAGGAGGTGATGAACCATTAGCCCAGTATCAGGAAGTCGCTAAAACTTAAAATATATAATTGGCGGGACACGTTGTTAGAATGCCCGATAGCAATCCGTCAAAAATGATGTTTGCTTCGAATCCGGCCTTTACAATGTAAAGTAGGTGAAGTCTCACCTAAGGACATTGAACCAACACAAGTATGGTAAGGTAGGCATCCAGTCTAATAGAATTTGGTCTAAATTCATTTCTACGTTAATCATAGTGTCCTAAATATGAACAATTACCTTCAGTTAAACTAAACAAGGACATCTGGTTTCCGAACTATGCATAAAATAGTTTGACTAAGCTGTATACAAACACATGGCACCAAGGTACTAGGCATCCAGGGAAAATTAATTTATGCCACGTGAAGCAAATTCAAACAATAAGTTTGAACACATAACAGAATACCGTTAAATGCCTCGTGTATAGAACGATTTAGACTCCGTCAAAGAGCTCTACATGGCAGGGATAAAACTGAATATGAAAAACCATTTAAATCTCAATGTTCAATGATCGACACAAAATTAAGTCGTAAAAGGCATTCAATTCAATCAACCGTGTGTTTTTTGCATTGCATAGGACCCTCAATTTAACATGAACGTTTTGCTTACGTTTTGCCATTTACGTAAAAGATGAATTGCGATTCGTGTTATATTTTTTTCTAATCTATGTGTGTAGATATCCGATAACTGCTTATTCTTCGAGCCTGAAAACATCAAAAAGCGGTGGTGTACTAAATAGCGCTACAATTTCTTGAGTCACCTTCAGCTTTAAACAAAAAAGTGCACGCAAAAAGAGTATCACTAAATCAAACCGAATGCCTACCTCATCGAATCAATTCATCAAACCTGTAATGTAAGCGAAAAACGCATTTCACACCCTTGAAAATTATGTACGTATCTGGTAGCTGCAACACGATCAGTTGCCTTTCCTCTCTATTTAGAAGCCTGTAGATATACGTACATAGCGAAAACGTGAAGATCAATACAAATTGCTGGTTTAATATATCTACCCATAGAAACTGGCAAAGTGGTTATAGCTCGCTTCATTAGGCAAGTTCTGTTGTCGAAATTGCCAATCAGCATATCTTGCTCGTGGATTCGGTCTTACTGACTGTGAAGAACTTTCCTCTTCATTTAACTGGGTAAAAAATCAATTTAACGTAAAACCGATGGAAAAATCATCACCAACGCTTTCGGTTTTCATGGACCATATTTAGTGCAATGCACTATGGGTCAGAAAGCAAATGTAGCAGGAAAAATACAAATCCATTGGCTACGGAAAAGCTGTTTAAAATTATTAGGCCATAATGTTTTTTTTTTTTGAGAAAATACATTAAAACAGTTGAAAAGACTCAGATTAACAGTATTAGCAAAAAGGAGGCAGCGGGTTCGATTCCAGCTTTGGTTGGCACAGAAAGCTCTCACCACTACGCAAGTAACCATCAAGCCCACTAATGCAAAAAGTGTTAGTAGAACGAGAGATCCAAGGTACCGAGTGTCTAGCAACTATCCCTAGAAACCAACATTATTATTTTTCATAATAAATTAGAAATTTACATTCAAAAAAATCAACTATAATTGTGTAAGGAAGGTCGTCAACATTTATTTAAGTCTGGGCTTATGGTCATTTGGCCTAAAATCCTTCAAACCAATGGCCGGACACCCTCAGGGCGATAGTGCCACATCCAGAAATGATCCATATGCTCCCAGAAAAAGTGCTTAAATTCAGATTTGAAGTATTCAAATCTCACGAGCTTTAAATGATTCAATCATTATTGATCATATTGAATTGCACACACATCTGGCATTTTTTCGGGCGACTTCCCAGCAAATCTAGATAGAGCTGGAATAAGGGCATAGCAGCTTTAGTAAACAATGACTTCTCTCTATGATTTCTAGGAAGTAAAGGCACACCCACGCAAACCCACATTACCGTCGGGTAGGGGAAGTCTTACCCTAGCTGATGGTGATGTTGCACACTTAGAAAAATTTATGAAAATTTAGGTGCTCTGAGATGTCAATATGTCAATATACAAGCGTCAATTTTAACATAAAATTGAGTCATAATAGACGCGAAATTCAGCTCAATCAAACGTACTTTCGAACTTTTCAGTCTTGGAGCACTTAATTTTACATGATATATTTTTTTATGACTCATCCTTTATGTCAAATATGCATTCCGTCACCTGTAATATTAGGTATTTCTAAGTGTGTAGAGGTATGTTAAAATGTTCATTGTTTATAATCTTTACAAATGGCATGATTTTGTAAAAAAATTCTCATTCCAGAATAATGAGAATATTTCTTAGACTGCGATCTAGAAAAGTTTTCTAGGTCCCAGAGTTATGTAAATGTGTCTATGAGGTGTTACAGAAGTTTTTGTATTCGAGATCTTTCATAAAATTTCTTAAAATTGTAATCTGCGCCTCAGTTTGTCCTACATTCAAGATTTCCTAATAAATTTCCTTGTTCAATCTTTCACATACCGAAATTCGTTCTAAAAACGGCGATCTGAATCTAGAAAATGGTGTGCTATGTGAGGAAAGGGAGATTAGAAATGAACCGTGCTCATTCAATTAATGCTGATTTTTCGAGAAAAATCTAATAGGATCCTTTAACCATTTGTTTTATTTTAAAGAAACTTGAAAAATGCTCAAGGTGTGTTGTGAGTTTATAATACATCTCAAAGTGGGTCGCAATCAACGAAAAGGGTGTATTCGTTATAAATTGCACACACATATTTACTCACCAAAATTAAACCGAGTATAGGATTTTTTGAAATTTGCAGGTAATGAAAAACTACTAATGAGTTATGATTAACAAAGTTTGTTTAATTCAATTTCGTCTCCCATCCCGAATGCCCGCACCTTCCTTTTCACTCTACCCATCAAATTTTGTAAAACCGATTTTCCCAGTGTTCTATAACTTTCTTCAACTCCAGCTCTGTTTTAATAGTTTTGGGATGTTTGCGAAGTTCCGTCTTCATAATTGCCCAGAATTTTTCAATTTGGCGATGTTCCGGCATGATGCTACATCAGGCCAAAACAGAGTTGATCCTTTGTACTTCCTTATGAATGGCAAGATACGCTTTTTAAGGCACTCTTCCGTGTAAATCGCACTGTTGATTGTTCCGGAAGTGATGAAGGGAGTGCTTGTTTCACCACATCCGCAAATTGCCTGCCAGATCAGGAACTTCTTTGTAAATTTCGATAATTTCTTCTTTTGAACATCGTCGGGAACATCGAGCTTAGACTTGGGAACGAAATATTCTTACCCAGGAAGTTGAAGGAAGTCGGCTTTGATGTAAGTTTTGTCATCCATCACGATGCAACACGATTTGGTGAGAAGCTTCGTGTAAAGTTTCCGGGCGCGGGTTTTCGCAGTGATGTTTTGCTTTTCACTCCGGTTTGGAGCTTTTTGAATCTTGTTAACATGTAACCCAGCACGCTTGATGGTTTTCTGCACAAAACCGACTGACACCTTGGACTTTTTAGCGACATCTCGAATTGACATGTTTGAACGGATCTGAACTGTTGCACCACTTTGCTGATCATTTTACTGTCCATTGAACCACTTTAACGACCACTCCCTTCCTTCCTTTGGGCACTCAGACGCTCCTTGAAGGTCTTATCACACGCGCAGTTGTATTTGCAATTCCAAGTTTTTTAGCTATCCAGCGGACGCCTCTGGATTTTGATTGAAAGTGCACACAATTTTTTCACGGACAATTTCTTGTTTCGATTACATGACTGGAACTACTGTATGAATAACCATAACATTTACTCAAATATTCGGTGTGCCATTTATATCGAATACACCCTTTATATCTAATACCCACTAAGAGCCCAGAAAACGTCACTTACTCAAAACCCATGATTGAATTCAAAACCCGATTCAAGCAAATTCAAGAGCTGTACATCCTGAATGTAAACATCACAGCATTTATTTAAATAATACTAATCACCTACCGCTTTCCCTTACTCTTGCAGATCTGCCGAGGTGCCGACCTTGTGATAGAAATTCCCGGCAATCTCGGCCTGGATGGCTCGTACTATCGTCTCGACTACTTTCCCCCGGTTGGTAATCCAGCACCGAACGCGACGATTGCGTCGCGGGACGTCGGCGATGAGATTCAGTTCTCCAACGGACTACCCGGAACGAGGTACAACTTTTGGCTGTACTACACCAACTCGACCCACCATGATTGGCTCACGTGGACGGTGGCGATAACGACAGCGCCCGATCCGCCGGCCAACCTCTCGGTTGCTATACGGTCCGGCAAAAATGCCATCATTAGCTGGAGTCCACCGTCACAGGGCAACTACTCCACCTACAAGCTGAAAGTCCTCGGCTTATCGGACAACTTTTCTACGAATCAGACCATCACCGTTGAGGACAATCAATTTCAACATGTGCTCAGAGATCTTACGCCGGGTGCGACCTATCAGGTGCAAGCGTACACTATTTTTGACGGCAAGGAGTCGGTGGCATACACTAGCCGCAACTTCACGACAAGTAAGTTGTCGTTTATTATTTTGCAACGGTCACAGTTTTCGGGGGCAAAATGGTACACAACTAACCTAGTTTCTCACAAGCGTGGTGAAAGGATATGTAGTAACTAACTTCACTTTAGCTCTCATTTAGCTTCCAAGGTCAGTCCGGATTGATAAATGATGCGGTATAGTTACAGATTCAGACAAAGACATCAGCTTCGTACCATCAAGATAAGCCGGACAACAACAATCTCTTCAAACGAACAGCGGATGTTTCAATTGAAAAGCATATGCACAAATATATTTCATATAGCGATGATGATATATGCGTACCACGTCGTACATTCATGCGGATAATACTTATCCACTTCACTTAGTCGCAATTTCTGTTTCTTTTTCTCTCTTCCTAATTCGTAACGGGTTACTGCTAACACTAACACATAACTCACTCGCACTATGGGGACAACTTTTTTCCGCAGAACGCTATCGGCATAAAGATCTGTTGGACATAAAGATTCTGCGAGGTAATAATAGTTGCTAATCAAATTGCATGCTCACAATAACCGTCCAGTAGTGTTGCGAGTGTAAGCTACTCACATTTGCATACGCACACTAAATTATCTATTTAAAAAAAAAACAAAACGAATGCATAATCTGAAATAGGGTTGTTACAAACGGCGTGTATTTTGCAGAATTGGTTCGTTTAATAATACAATTCGGTCTAGTCGGCTGGGTCGGTCTAATTTATTGCCAAATTATTGTAAAACTTTCCGAATACTAGCAAATTCTCACAAGCTCCGCACGATTAACTGATAAAATATTCGATACATATTATTAGCATAACGTCACCCTCCGATTAATAGACAGAAAAAGACAAATTTTGTAACGAAAATTGTTTATATCTTTCCAACAAAAAAGATACACGGCAAATGAATCTGACTCATATTTGAGTCCCGTTCCCGCCGTGTCACATGGTAGTATCAGAAAAAGTGAGCGCCATCTAACATTCTAAAAGTGTCTTTGATTAATTTTACGGGAAATCGATTAAATGTTATTTTTATAAAACCTTAAGCTACGATCAGAATAACCAATTTCTCTGTCGCAGTTTGTCTGCCACAGACTTATCAATATTTGACTGTTGAAAATTTGTCTGGTAACATGATCATACTATCCACTTGCATCAATGTAGAGAGAGCAAAGTCAGTAATGAGGAATATTGTATTACTATCAATTACTGATAATTTTCGAATAAACTCAGTCATCTTTCATTTACGTCGCGAAAAAAAAACTATCTCAGTACGTGTTCTCTCTCTCTCTCTCTCTCTCTTAGATCAGTCGATTACTCGGAGATGATTAAAAACTGCACGATTTAGTCAGCCGCTTGTTGTTTAACAAAACAATTAATGATCGTTGGAAACAATAAATTATGTTAAAACAAACTAAAAATAGGTACAAACCGGATTCGGACCACGAACACAACGTACTAGCGCTTCTTATATTCCTTTAGCCTTTCCCTTATCCTAAGCATTGATAAACCAGTGGTGAAAAGACAGATTTGATAATCACAACAATTATCAATGCTTAGAATAAGGGAAAGGCTAAAGGAATATAAGAAGCGCTAGTACGATAATTTGGCTGCTCACATGTACGTTCAACGGTTTTGCTATGTTTTTGTCCATGATAAAAAAAGAAGTGAATGTAAAAGATGTGATAGGAATTCTTTTAGTGATTTCTGTCGGACTCACTTCGTCTCTGACGAAGGATGTATGGAAGAGATGATTTTTGCACCGTGACAATTTATTTTTGATTTTCTTCAAACGTCACTGACCAAACTGACCGTTACCAACTCTAATTAGAGCAGTTCCATGCCAAATATCAAAACATAATTAAATTTTGGACTCGATTATCTCTGATTTGCATGAGACTGTACATAATTTTTTGTTATGGGCAAACATTCACATTTATGATAAATTTTTGAATCTTGCGATAATTCGACATTATCCAAAAAAAATGTACAACGCAAATGTCACTTTTAATCGCAATGACGTCTGAGGAAAAATGCTGGGGAAAAATTAAGTTTTTCTAGAAGTGTATTCTAAATATATTTTACAAAAATTTATATTTTTTTCACACATTGGTCATGCAGAGATTTATTTCCGTTCAACGAATTAATTCCAAGAGGAAGAAGTTTCTCCACAGCTGTCAAATAAACAAGGCTTCAAATGTGTCAACGCACACTCTGTTTTTTTTTTCAGTATTCAGCTTATTTTCATACTGCCTTTATCTCGGCCGTTATATCTTTAAAAGTCGCGGTAGGACTCTACGTGACTCTTCCGCCACCGGGCGGAAATTTTTCTTAACATCCGTAATATAACAAGTACTGAGGAACCTAGAGTCAGTTTGTTAGTAATTTTATCGGAAATTATTGCATTATTGTCTTGTGACCGAACATCAGTTTTTTTTTTGGGGTTTGGGTTTGATAATACTTGATGAATATAGAAAAACATACGTGAAACTAAAACAATTTATGAAACTTTAAATGAGTTTCCCAAGTTTTAAAACAAAAGTTTTAAATTGTTACTTGGGATACAATCAGAAACATAAGCAATGAGAAAAGAAGACAACATTGAATTTGTGGTGGTTGTATCGGAAATACATTTAATAAGTGATTGTTTGAGTGCCTTTTCAATCAAGCGAAAAACAAAAACAATATGTTTTTTTTAGGTATTTGGAAAATATTTAAAACATACACACAAAACTCTACACGATATCAAAGATAGAACCAAACCTACATAGAAATCCTTGGCCACTAAAAAATTTACAAAAATCGTTGAACAAAAACTTTTTGTCAAATCTTTGAACTTACTGTTGGTTGCCTTTTTTCTGTAATTTTTACACAGAAAACAATCTTTAAAATTTCAAAAATATTACACACGTAACAAGTTGAAATTTAGAACAAAAGTTGTTGTTCTTCGATTTTAAATGTCCAAGGATTTAAATATAACAAATTTTGAATTTTTCAAAGGTTTGGAAAAATCAAAACATATTGAACAAGTACATTTTTTGTTCTTTAAATTTTAAACTTCTTTTGGATTATTTCCCCAAAATTAGTACAAAAAGTTTATTTTCCCTATATTCTGATAATTTTGACGTCCGATTTACGTGGTTTTTGTCCACCCTATTTTTCACGTAACTTTTACTGAACTTGCACGTAGCCAAACCAAATTTAGCTTCAATTATTATCCACGTGATTAGTCAGGTAAATAAGACAGGATTTCCACGTACTGCTTACGTGAGATTGGGATGAAAACTACAGGAAAACTGGTAGCGTTTACGTGATATTCTGTTTTGTTTAAAATCAAATATACCATATGAACAATATGATCCATTCATGCCTTTTTCATACATTGCAATGGCGACCCGAAAAAATATTGCATCACGCACAGGGGTTGAAACTGTTGACGTTTTTTACTACACTCGCTTCGTTGTCCTGTGCGACAGTTTGTTTGTTTTCGTACTCTCATACTCTACCGTCGTCTCTCTTACACAACGCAAACGGTAGAACAACATTCGAGCAAAAATAAAATTATCAAATAACTATCATATGACAAATGTGATTTCGTTCTAATTCCTCAATTTGGTGTAAATAAAACCTTTTCTGATCAGAAATGCTATTACCAGAACATCGTTGCTTGCTATTTTCAGAATTCACACAAGCACAGCATCAGTAGCTCTTATTATGGGAAAAACTAAAATACATACATTCGTGACGGTCTTCGGCAACAATGTCGTATGACAGAGCCGTATGACATTTTAGTTTGGTACTGTAATTTGATATCTTGTTTTGCAAGTGTCGGAAGCAAAGGCAGTCAATTATCACAGAAAATGTGTCGACTACAGTGACCGCTTACAAGACGCACCATCTAGCGTTGAAAAAGGTCAATCGAAGTGTGCGAATATAGCACTTATTACAAAAAAATAATGGTCAAATTTATTTTATTATTTACATTTAGTATATAACATGAAAATGTTTATGAATGTGTCAAAGTTGTCATCAAATAATATGCTGAAATAAATATATTTAAAATAATATACAAATTTTCATTTGGTTAACCCCTCGTGAAGATTAACAAATACATTGGTAGCTTTTTTGGCCTCAGAGGTGCTTCCATCTCTAAAAATTCGGTTTACCAGCTAAGCGAAAGAGTGTAAGTATAATTATTTGTTAAAATGCTTTTAACGTAATTTATACGTGAATTTGAATGAGAATATTGGAACGTATATACCTATCCTATATTCAATATTTGGCAATTTTATCGATATTATATTGGCGATTTTTATACGATTCTCCCTGTTCGTTGAGCCTTACATAGTTCCCATAGTTCACTACACGTTTCAATCAAATTCAAAGCAAAAGTAAATATAAATGGTTATTTGAGTAGCTTCATGCAAATCGGAGAAGGTCCAGTCTGATTGATTCGTGATTTGGCTTAGAACTGCTCATTAGTATATTATGTTTCTTATCCCAAGGAAGGTGACAAGTTTTCAAATCCAAAAAAAAATCCTAGTCTTACCAGGGAATCGAACGCAGCCGCTTTTGAGCATAGTACCATAGTACTGATGTAAGAGACGCCCCAATTTTATAAGTTCACAATCCTGATTTTTTTGCATGTGAATCCTGAAAATTGTCAGGTTTACGAAAAAATCAAGGTTGAAATCTGGGCAATATTGGATATGTAACTTCAAATGTTACCTGAGTCCATGAATGATTACAATAGTTCAGTAATTGGAAATTTATAGTAAGTCCAATATCATATAAATTTAGGAAAACCGCATTAAGAATAGGGATTTTAATAGAAATTTAATTAGATTCAGCAATTTTGGCATCAGCACTATCAGATAGGTCTCTCACACTGCACCATTTCTGGGATGATTCCATGAACTTTCGTGGAACATTTAGCATTGCGATGCTAAATAGCTTTAGGACCGTTTATTAATTATGTCACCCAGGAAAAATTGTGTACATATGTCCCGTTTATATTAGCTATCACAACAAACAATTTTACCACAGATCAGTTTTTACTGGCTAAAATTGGCATATACATTTAATTTTTGCCTGTATAATCTACTTTGTAGTTAAAATAATAAGTTAAGGTCTATTCTTAATATTTGAGTAGATCTTAACTTATAATACCAAGCAGATTATACAGGCAAAATTTAACAGCACATGCCAAATTCAGCCTGTAAAATCTGATATGTAGCTAAAATTGTTTGTTGTGATGGCTATTAAAATTAAGTTACGGGGTCAAGAACAATGGACAACATGATGATCTGAAATGAACTAAACTTGAACAGTAAATACATTAGAAGGAAATTACGTACATTTATACGATTAATAAGTTAAGGTGTATGCTTATTTGAAAGGATGAATGATTTAACTGAACCTTACACATTCTGCGATTGAACACAAAATCTGCTGTAACAACCCTATTCTTCTCGTATTTTCTTGATTGAAAACTAATCCTCCTTCTATTATTCCAACAGAACCCAACACGCCGGGAAAATTCATCGTGTGGTTCCGCAATGAAACCACTCTGCTGGTACTGTGGCAGCCGCCGTACCCCGCAGGAATCTACACACACTACAAGGTATCCATCGAGCCACCGGATGCGCTGGGCAGTGTGTTGTACGTTCAAAAAGAAGGTGAACCCCCCGGACCGGCCCAGGCGGCCTTCAAAGGACTTGTACCTGGTAGGGCCTATAATATTTCGGTACAGACAATGTCCGAAGATGAGATTTCTCTGCCGACAACGGCCCAATACAGAACGGTTCCTCTAAGGCCACTCAATGTTACTTTCGACAAAAAAACAATCACGGAAAATGCATTCAAAGTGATGTGGGAAGCCCCAAAGGGTATTAGCGAATTCGACAAGTATCAAGTGTCCGTGGCAGCCGCACGGCGCCAGGTGCAAGTGATGCGAAATGACAATGAAAATATGGCTTGGCTAGAGTTCAAAGACAGCCTCGAACCTGGTAAAACGTATCAGGTGGTTGTGAAAACCTTATCCGGCAAAGTGACATCTTGGCCCGCAACGGGTGAAGTCACACTCAAACCACTGCCGGTGAAAAATCTCTACTCCTACACGGATAGCAAAACGGGAATAATAACAATTTCATGGAGTCCAGATGAGGCCAGCACACAGGATGAATACAAAATCAGTTATCATGAGTTGGGATCCATCAACGGAGACTCCAGCACGATGAACACAGACAAGACGACCTTCGCGTTGGAATCGTTACTGCCAGGCCGAAACTATTCCGTCACCGTGCAGTCCATTTCCAAAAAGATGGACTCCAATGAAACGACAATCTATGTAGTGACCCGACCTTCGTCTCCAATCATCGAGGATTTGAAATCGATCCGCGAAGGTTTGAATATCAGTTGGAAGAGCGATGTGAACTCACGCCAGGAAAAGTACGAGGTCACCTATACTCGCAACGATACCAACGACGGCAAAACAGTACTTACCACCGAATCTAGGCTAGTGTTTACCAACCTCTACCCGGGAGCTGGCTACGAAGTGAAAGTGTTCGCCGTGAGCCACGGGCTCAGAAGCGAACCGCATTCCTACTTCCAGGCAGTTTGTAAGTATTTGATTTTAATTGTTTAGTCATTTTGACTAACAAACATAACTTTCAATCCCGTAGATCCCAACCCACCGCGCAACATGACAATCGAAAAAGTCACCAGCAACTCTGTCCTCGTACACTGGAAACCTCCAGAACGATCCGAGTTCACAGAATACTCCATCAGATATCGCACCGAGAGCGAAAAGCAATGGATCAAACTCCCATCGGTGAAAGCCACCGAAGCGGACGTAACGGATATGACTCCTGGCGAAAAGTACACCATCCAGGTGAATACAGTAAGCTACGGAGTGGAAAGCCCAAATCCTCAACAGGTAAATCAAACCGTACGACCGAATCCAGTGTCCAACATTGCACCGCTAGTTGATTCCAATAATATCACACTCGAATGGCCCCGACCGGAAGGTCGCGTGGAAACGTACATCATTCACTGGTGGCCAGCCGAGTTTCCGGATCAAGTCTCCGACAAAAATGTATCCGAAGTTAATACAAGTAAGTTTTTTTGTAACAGTCAATCGATACTAGTAAGCTGAATGAATTCTCTTTTTCAGTTTACCCTTACCCAGGAAGTTTGGGTGATGATGACAAACTGACTGAAGAAACACCGACTGTTCGTATCCTCATAGGAGATTTGATGTCCGGTGTTATGTATAGTTTTAAAATTCAAACTGTATCGTACGATTTAACGAGCGATGTTACCAAGTTACAAACACGCACAATGCCGCTAATTCAATCCGAAGTATTGATCGTTAATAACGTACAAATGCGGGACACCGTTACGCTAAGCTACACGCCAACACCACAGCAGTCATCCAAGTTTGACCTGTACCGATTCTCGCTGGGAGATATTAGTATTCCAGATAAGGAGAAACTGGCCAACGATACCGACCGCAAAGTCACTTTCACTGGTCTCATACCAGGTCGACTGTACAATATCACCGTTTGGACTGTGAGTGGTGGCGTGGCAAGTCAGCCGATCCAACGGCAAGATCGTATGTATCCAGATCCAATCACAGAACTGAACGCCAGTAACCTAACCGATACGGATATCATGCTGAACTGGGACATTCCGAAGGGCGAATACAATGCGTTTGAAATTCAGTACCTCAAAAACGATTCGCACTACGTGCAGAATCTCACCGTGAACAATCACATCACAATCACCGATCTAAAACCACATCGAAATTATACATTTACCGTAGTGGTTCGTTCTGGCACCGAATCAAGCGTACTGCGTAGTAGTCTTCCAGTATCGGCTAACTTCCAAACCAAGGAATCGGTTCCGGGACGCGTAGACAAATTCGCACCCATCGATATACAACCTAGCGAAATTACGTTCGAGTGGTCTCTTCCATCGAACGAGCAGAATGGAGTCATTAGACAGTTTACCATTACTTACGGACTCGATGGATCGCAACATACCCAAGCTAAAGACTTCAAGCCTACGGAACTTCGCGGTACGATCAAAACGTTACTGCCTGGCAAAACATATATTTTCCGCATCCAAGCAAGAACTGCTATCGGATATGGGCCAGAGCAGATGTGGAAACAGAAGATGCCGATTTTGGCTCCGCCGAAACCAGAAACGCAGGTCGTTCCAACCGAGGTCGGCAGCAGTGCTACGACCATCGAGATCCGCTTCCGTAAGCACTACTTTAGCGACCAGAACGGTGTCGTTACCACCTACACTATCATCATCGCCGAGGATGACAGTAAGAATGCTTCCGGCTTGGAGATGCCCAGCTGGTACGATGTGCAATCGTACAGCGTTTGGCCACCATATCAGGTCATCGAACCGTACTACCCATTTAAGAACAGTTCGGTGGAGGACTTTACCATCGGAACGGAAAATTGTGATACCCGCAAATCGGGATACTGCAATGGGCCATTGAAGTCGGGCACAACCTACAAAGTGAAGGTTAGGGCCTTCACGGCGCCGGACAAGTTTACCGATACGGCTTACAGCTACTCCATTAGAACAGGTATGTGTGTTATATGATTGATTTTTCTTAAGCATGTTGGATTCAACCGAAGACAACATATCAAGAAGATTGGCAACTCTACCAGAATATACAGGAACAGATACTGTAGCGCTGAGCATGTTGTTGGCGAAATTATGACCATCACAAATCGTTTCTAAAAAGAACATTGAGTGTGGCCTGTCTTTTTGATATGTAGCCTTCGATTCAGCACAATTCCACAATATTGTGTACACTGCCAAAGTTCTGATCAGATTGTATTACGCACCACGTACAGAATTGCGCATTGTACACTATTAGGAATTTTACAGAAAACAACGCAATGTTACAGAAGAGTTCTGTGCCAATTACATCTACATACATGTTCATTTCAAAATATTGACATAAAAAATCCAGAATACTCCTCATAAAAAAAAGCAGAACCCTATCTATTCTTACAATAACCTATAATATTTCAATGATCTCTATCCCATGCCTCCAATTTACATTAAAAGCAGGATTGCTATCAGTTGACGGTAAGCAGCTTTGAATTTGTCTAAGGTTTAAATGTTTAAACGTAATTGCAGCATTATAATTTATAACAAGAAACGCATTGGCATTTCATACATCGCATGATCCCACGAATCCAACTTTCCAACAAACCCACTAGGTCGCCTTTTTGGCGCCTTTCAACATAAGGCTGACTTACGGCTAATACTGGGCTTGCATACACTAAATTAGCCGTATTTCAACCGTATATTGTACAAAGGTAAACTTATTGATTACTTGGGGAGATTGGTTGAATTCACTCGTAGTCCGTTATTGTCTTTCTGTTGACTAGAATTACACGTAAGGAGCTTTCTTCAAACCTCGTCCACAGTTTACGGCAAATTTCGAAAAAAAAATGTATCAACGACTGCCTACGCTAGGGAGAGGGGTTGTAAAATCGCTCAAAAACTGTCTACGTAGTTTATTGACCGCCCCTAACTGCTTAGAAATGCTACAAATTTATGAAATTATGTTTAATCTAGGCTATAACCTGTTTTGGACCAGCTCATACACGACGATGGATTTTTCTATAACTATGTCCACTGTTCTTGCTATTAATTGCTCTAACCTGATTTTTTCATGAACTGATCAAGTACAAGAGGTTGGCAAAATATTCAGGACTATTAAAAATTTACTCAACTTTCAAGTGAACTATTAACCGATTTTGATGAAACTGGAAGCATTCGACAGGGAAGATATTTAAATTTGCGTATATTGTGCCAAAAATTGCAGTGGCTGCTGGACACCGGAAATGTTCCGAATACTTTGAGGTTATGATAAGCGTGCTATTTTCTGTCACTGATAGTTATGGGATGTAGGCGAGGACGTAGGTTGAAAACCCTATATTTTATATTTTTCTCGAAAACAAGTGTCTAGTGGTAAGCATGACTGCCTCTCACTCCAAAGGGTCTGGGTTCAATCGCAGTCGACGTCGTCGGGATTGTCTGAGGCATAAAATCTCTGATCACGCCTTCTTTCGGAAGGGAAGTAAAGTTGGTCCATGAGTTGATGGGTCGATAGGTACGGTCCAGGTGTGGGAGCTGCCTGCCTGACGTCGGTTGCATTGGTATTCAGTACGGAAAACAATATCGACGGAAAACAAATCAAGACAAGTCTACTACAGGTTAATGTTCTTAAACCGGTCTATAAAGAACGATTTTCATGGAATTTGTTCTGCATGGTTTTTTTCTGAACCCTCCAATTGTGGATATCAATCTTCTTTATTATGCAAGGTGATGTTAATTGGAAAAAAATGAGACCCACAAGTTGCTTTGGCCACTCTGTGGTAGGTTCCGGATATCCTCGGGGAAGCATCAAAAACTTCAATAATTCCAAAACCGATCATACAGAACATCTAACAGCGTCAGCATGCAATGAATAATCCTTTCACATGGTCTTGCGACTCATCAACTAGCATCAACATTCAATGACTAATCCGTTAGTGACCATATTCAATATTGAGGATGAGTTTGGTAAATGGGATGATTAACCCAATTCCTACCTTCCTCAAAAGTGTACTTCGCTCGCTTTCTACTTTCTATATACAATTTTCACACTGCCGTTTTATAACGGAACTATCAACTCTGTACTTCCATCTCCTCATCTATCGTATAAATGTCCACTTTAAGTCTTATATTTGACGTTAAGAATCTCCTAACTATGTAAAAATATTGATGAAAATAATGACCATACTTCTGCCGTTATGGACCGATTTATCATCTTAAACCTATAGAAGACTAGTGAATCACATAAACCTTTGTGTGATAAAACCTAGTGTGATAAAAATATAATACATATACATATAAGATTTTCAACCGAAATCCACAAATTATCAGTGACAGAAAGATTGCACGTTTGACCTGAAAAAAACCGAAACATTTCTGATATCCGGCAACCACTGCATTTTTTGACAAAATATACGAAAACTTAAATAATTTCCCCGTCGAATGCTTACAGGTTCTTCCAAATCGGTTAACTATTCATGGATCTTTAAAGTTGGACAAAAATTTGCTAGTGTCGAATATTTTGCCCAACCCTTGTATATTTTCAATTGTCGCATATATTTATAAATGTTGCATGAACCTGAACACTTCATCAGTTGTCAGCAAACGGCAGTGTTCTTCATCTGTTCATAAGCATCTGGTTCATATGTAATTTTTTTAAGTGTAATACATTTATTTGTTTTATACACGTAACTGTCACTTTTCACTGTCATTGTCGATTTCTTGAATACAACATATTCAATCACTCGAAGTATAGTACTATAGATATCGCAACACCATCGGACCGATGAGACGGATGAGACAATGCCCCATCTATTGGTAATGTTGATTAGTGTGATTAAGTTGTTGTTTGCAAGAAAGAAAGTGAAAGGTCGCAGTTCCGTTATGCGTGTATTTAATTACTTCAAAATTTAAAAAGTGTCGTGAAATCTTGTAATTTTTTAGATTATCAACGCCTTAAGCAATGAGGAAATTTTGAAATATGTTTTTTTTAGTGTGCTAGCACTAGTGTAAATAGTAAAACGTAGTCAGCATAATTTCAAAGAAATTCATCAAATGTTGATTTTTTTAAATATACACTGAATTTCTAAACTCAGACACGGTAGCCTATATTACGTAATATCGAACGTGTAAAAAACAAATAACAATTAATTATGGAATTTTGATTAAAAAATAAATAAATAGAGTAAATGACGGCTTATTCTATTATAGTCACGGGGTAAACAACATCCTTGAGAGCTCAATTTTGGATTGTGGATACATTGTGTTCCAGAGCATCTATTGGCCATATATGAGTGCTCTAGGACTTTGTTTACCCCCTGACGATAATAAGTTAGGATATTGCCGAGGCCGACATTTCCCCTACCTAATTTCTCAGAATTCCTTATGAATCATTTCAATAGCTGTAAGATTTGTAAGGCTTGTCAAACCATAGCTTAAATCTAGGGAATTTTTTTCATGGTTCCATGTATTTATGCAAAATTATGCGAACTATTTCAGGCTGGTAGATTAATACACTAGCAAAGTTAATAGAGTTTATTAAAAGACCAGAAAATTATCATACCAAAACACTCTTAAACAAACTCACTCATCTAGACATCTTCAAAATGTTACAATATGTATTGCCTTATAAAACCTGTGCAAATGTGGCATGTCCTACGTATAATGTCTGTACTAATTGAGAAAACATTGCCTCTACATTCAACTAATCGAACTAACCCAACCATTCCAGCACAAGACAATACATCACTGATCGTTTCGATAACGGTTCCATTGTTCATCATATTCCTGCTCGTCGGGACCATCCTGTTTCTACGCCGGCGACGCCATTCGGGTCGCAAGAAAACCACCGAGCAACGTGCAAACGACAATATGTCTCTACCAGATAGCACCATTGAAACAAGCCGTCCAGTACTTGTGAAGAATTTCGCCGAACATTATCGCATGATGTCGGCTGATTCTGATTTTAGGTACGAGTAAAAACCGTTGACACACGGTAGCGATTAAAGGACTCTAACCAACCAATTTGTTCATATTTACAGATTTAGCGAAGAATTTGAAGAACTGAAACATGTGGGCCGGGACCAACCATGTACATTCGCGGACCTCCCATGCAATAGACCTAAGAATCGATTCACCAACATTTTACCATACGACCACTCTAGATTTAAACTGCAACCGGTCGACGATGAAGAGGGATCAGATTACATCAATGCTAATTACGTTCCGGTAAGTACCCATGCTCCGTGGTTTTCCATGCGAAGCTTACGTTTCAATATTTCCACTTCACAGGGTCATAATTCACCGCGAGAGTTCATCGTAACGCAAGGACCGCTACACTCAACGCGGGACGACTTCTGGCGGATGTGCTGGGAGAGTAATTCACGTGCGATCGTCATGCTGACACGCACGTTCGAGAAAGGCCGTGAAAAGTGTGATCACTACTGGCCACATGATACCGTACCAGTGTACTATGGTGACATCAAAGTTACGCTGCTCAACGACAGTCACTACCCGGACTGGGTCATCACGGAGTTTATGATGACGCGGGTATGTGCTGTAAATTTTCTCATTTGTCAAACATGTACTGAACTTCTTTGTTCCAGGGTGACCAGCAACGTATCATCCGCCATTTCCACTTTACAACGTGGCCCGATTTCGGTGTGCCAAATCCTCCTCAAACGCTTGCCCGCTTTGTGCGCGCTTTCCGCGAACGAGTTGGACCCGATCAACGTCCGATCGCAGTGCACTGCAGTGCTGGGGTCGGTCGTTCCGGTACGTTCATTACACTCGACAGAATACTACAACAAATTCAGGTATCGGACTATGTCGATATCTTCGGTATTGTCTGGGCAATGCGAAAAGGTTAGTAGATACCTACATTCAAATCGAATGCAGCATGCAACCTAACGGTGTTATTCTTTGACAGAACGTGTCTGGATGGTCCAAACGGAACAACAATATATCTGTATCCATCAATGTTTGCTGGTGGTATTAGAGGGTAAGGAAGGTACCGAGCGTGAAATTCACGACAACCAAGGTTACGAAGGTAAGTCGCTCCTTTTTCTGAACACTAAGATATTACATGTGGTGGCTTCCTATCTTGATAATCGATCTTTCCCGCGAACGATACCAAAGTGAATAATCACATCCTTAACTGGAAAGTAATCGCTTCCTTCTTTGCAGACTAATGAATATGCTTTCGAGTTGGTTTAGTGGTCTTTCATTCCTTAATCGGTTTTATTTACTAACACATGTATTTATTTTTCGATTTGCGTCATTAACACTGGAAACAGCACATTCCGGGCACCAAGGAATTCTTTGAATAGGACATTCTACATAGTTTATCAATAGTAACATAGGAACAGAATTATGTCAATGCCGAGATTAAAAAATAATTGAAAATCAGCTTATAGAATCACTGTAAATCTGCATTATTTTCAAGCAAATCTACAATAGGTCGTACGTATCATAACTTTGCGAAGTTTTAAATCTCACAGTTCCTTCATGTTGGAAATGTTTCAAGTCCCAGTATATTAAAAAGTAGAAGGGTCTGTACCTAGGGGCACGAACGGAAGCTTGACGTAGGACCGCTAGTGGACGGAACAAATGTGAACATTTAGTTCTTTTAATTGATCAATCATCAATTATCTTAACTCTTTCCGTTTTTTATTTGTAAGCGTATCAAATTTGTAGTATTTATTTCAAAGAGAAAGTTTGATAAAGAGAATCTAAGGGACTGCCAACTTGAGTATTTTCGATTCATCTACCCGACTTAAAGAGGTGTATTTTGAATTTTTTGTTATTTATGTATTTTTAAGTTTTGCGCATTTTGGTATTAAAGTGTATTCAATTCACCTCTCACAGGATTTCCTTCCGAATTATATGAATGGGGCGGGGCGGACAGTATCGTTTGTGCAGAATATGTAAAAAAAGGAGGGACTTCGAGACATTGAATTCGTGAGAGCTAATTTTCTCACAAATTTGATTTTATTGACTTTCTGGGGACTGAATTTACACCCAAAGTGAATTATTCCCACTTCTCTCAAATTCTATATGGATTTTTAACACTTCCTACCAGCGTGTTCTGGAAAATGGTCGGACGATGATTAATCTCACCAATACATTCAGGCCTACAATTCCACACCTTCTATAGAGACCAGGTTGAGCCTTGATAGCTAGCTGCTTGCGGGAACTGATGACCTTGACAAATGTCCAAATAATAATCTTAACAAATTTATGGTGGTCCTGAAAAGGACCGTTTTGTAGTGATGGTTGAGTAATGCTGAGCTGAACACGACGAGCTACTGATTCCGATCCTAACCTAGCGGTGGGACTTCTTCCTCCTTCTCTATGGTTGCTCATATGAACTCTGCAGCTCGCTGCTTGCATGCAGCCTTTCATTGTTGTTGTTGTTGAAAGCACTCCTGCTGCTGCTGCTCCTGCTGGACTGGACACCACCACTTACGGTGATTGAATGAGCACCGTTCAGTGGGACCGCATCGAATTCGATTTTTAAGTCTGTGTTAGGGAATGCGCTGTTTTCAGACATTCGGTGATAATTTTGATCACCATTGCAACAGTTGGACATTTGGTATTTTTCAATAGTGACCTATTGAAAATTAACTAAGTGTTCATTTTAGCAGATTGGTAGATAAATTTCCAATCGTTTGGCTTGTTTAGAATTAAAATCTATCTGCTATTGGTCGAAACCTGACCTCTGTTCGTAATGCTGTGCATTTTGGTTTTTTGAAATTGCGTGGATTCTATAGATCCTGTGGAGATCTATCTAGTCTTGATGTATGTGTTGGTAGAGGGAAAAATGTAAACTTTGCGGGAGACGATGTCTTAACACTCGAAAGCAATTTTGTGAAATATGAAGTAAAACAAAGTTACTTACTTAAAAACAGGCAAAAACTCACAAACAGGCTGCTTTTTCATGGCATACAGTGTGATAATTCAATAATCAATAAATTATCTCAACATTTAGTGGCAAACCATTCATAAATTTTGGTAACATACAAAAAATTCTATAATCCACATTAAATTTCATATGTAAGCGCCGATTGAAACAATCTTTTCGACGTCACTACAAGGGTGATTGATCAAGGTTCAATTTACTTTGATGCTTTTTGGAAAATGTCAAAAGTAGTTTTTTTCTGACGCGAGCTTTTTGCAATCTAAAAAAATGCGTCGAAAAAAACTGCTTTTGAATTTTTAAAAAAATGCATCAAAGTAAATTGAACCTTAATCGAAAGAAACGAATCGTGCGGAATGAAAGCCGAGGAAAAACTAATTGCACCAATATATTCAGGCCTACAATTCCACACCTTCTATATACAGGCTGAGCCGTGATAGCTAGTTGCTTGCGGGAACTGATGACCTTGACCAATGTCCAAATAATACTCTTTTACACATTTTTGGTGTCCCTGAAAAGGACCGTTTTGTAGTGATGGTTGAGTAATTCTGAGCTGGGTGTTCAACACGGATGAGGCTGTCGAGCTGTATGTCGTTTGAAGCGAGGGTGACACGCTTGTCATAGATGACCGACCCGCAGCGACTCACGAAGAGCTACTGATTCCGATCCATAGCATAGCGGTGCAGCTTCTTCCTCCTTTGATGGTTGCTTATGTGGGCTCTGCAGCTCGCTGCTTGCAGGCAGCCTTTCGTTGTTACTGGAGAACAATTTTCAACGCCACACGCCGAAAGCACTGCTGCGCCCGCAGATCGGAGGCGAATGCCACTTCGACTTGTTTCGTATACTTACTACTCTCTGACGACTGTGCTGGGGAAGCAGCATATGCATGTACACAGCAAAAAAATAATTTTGATATCACATCAAAGTGGATGCACTACAATCATGTCGAAAATTTCATGTAATTTTTATGACCACATAAATAAACAAATGCAGTAAAAGCAGCGTAATGTCAGTTCATGCATTTTATTAATGATAATTTTGTCCTTTTTAGCAAGTAATATTACACCATATTTTCGACATGATTGTAGTGCATCCACTTTGACGTGATATCAAAATTATTTTTTTGCTGTGTACACAGCAAAAAAATAATTTTGATATCACATCAAAGTGGATGCACTACAATCATGTCGAAAATTTCATGTAATTTTTATGACCACATAAATAAACAAATGCAGTAAAAGCAGCGTAATGTCAGTTCATGCATTGTATTAATGATACTTTTGTCCTTTTTAGCAAGTAATATTACACCATATTTTCGACATGATTGTAGTGCATCCACTTTGACGTGATATCAAAATAATTTTTTTGCTGTGTAGGTAATTGGTGGATTTGTTAGTTAATTCCATGCTTTTGGACAATGCTGGACATTTACCAATTTTTCAATAGTTTCTTGTTAAAAATCGACATTCGGAAGCATTTTTATCGATGCGTAGCCATATTTCTGGTCGATTGGTGATAAAATTATTGAAATTGGACCAAGGGCAGCTGAGTTATTAACGTTCAATTTTCTTAATTTGTTACATGTTCCATTTTCAGTCTTCACAAAGTGTACCCCCATATAGAAATCAAAGACGTAGTCCTACGTCAAAATGTTTCTTAATTAGAAATCTTGAAAAATCATCTCAGCATGAGATCCCAAACATTGTTCGAATCCTCAATCTCTCAATCTTGGAACACGATTTTCAATGTTTATATGTGATCTTGATCTTGATGTTTATATGTGAGCCGAGATCGGTGGGATTTTTCTGAGGCATACAAATCTCTTCTCACGTCTTCCTTCGGAATGGAATATATATAGGCTCATGTATGTTGATGGGTATGATATCCTACGCAGGTGTTAAAGCTGCCTTCCTGCACATTTGATTGTCGTCACTGGATGGCAATCGATGGCTCATATTTCAGGATTATGAATCGATGGCCTATCTGAAATTCATCACCTTTTCTAAAATGAAGCACCTTACTCAAACAGTCGCACCTGCCGAGTAGAACTTGGAATGCGTAGGTATGGTTTTCATTTTATTCTGTCGTTTCACTTTTTCTTATCATCGTACTGCGGGAGCCTTCTGAATTCTCTTCAGAATTTTGATGGATTTTGTTTAAGACCTGCCTTTAGTTTTTTTAAGAGTTCCCTTGAAATTCGCCCAAAAGCATCTTCGATTTCTTCCTGGAAATTCTCCTTAAAACTTCTTCAGAATTCCTCAAAATTTGATATTTTTATAATTCTGTTAGAACTCTCCTCATAATTAATCTGAAATTAGCCCTTGGAATTGTACTCTGAACTCCGAACGATTTCTCCTTAGAACGGTGCTTCACATTAAAAATAATCAATAATTATCATGAAATGGTCCCTGGAATTTCCTTCTCCTAAAAATGTCCTTGAATTCTCTCCAACATTCGTTAGTCTCCCAAATATCCTTTAAAATTCACCAATTGAAACGCTTCCAAAAAATTCATAGAATTCTCGTCGGAATTCAATTGTGACTATCCCCAAAATTTTAGTGCATTCGGATTTATGTTCAGAATTCAGATGAAAATCATCAGAATTCTTGTGGAATTTTCTTCAAACTTTCCATTGATTTATCTTCAGAATTCACATTAAATTATCTTCAAAATTCCCTTGGAATGCTCCTAAAAATTAATTGAATTCTCCTTAGAATTTCTTGAGAACTGTCCTCAAACTTCAAATATTTCCGAATTCTTCTCAGAGGATCATTGGGGTTCTCCTTATAATGGCATGCCTGGTTGCTTGAGTTTTGCAGCAGATGTCGCAAATGAATACAAGTAACGGCTTTTTCTTTTGTGAGCAAAAATAGGTGACATGTTGATTTTAACTACCACACAAAACTCTAGTTTTAGCTGTAAAGTTAACATTTGAAGATTGTTGGAATCTCTTAAATATATGTTGACCTCAGTTCCATTCCTTTGACATTATATTCAGAATTCCCTTGGGTTTCTTTATGGAATTCACATTGAATTCTCTTTACAACTAAATTTTCGTCAAAATATTCTTGGAAGCAGTGCTGTCATGGTAAATTTAGAGCTGGTTACTCACAGATTTTTAGATGCACGCGCTCCGTCCACCTCAAAGCCATGCACCCCCTTTCAAGAACGCCCATAATTGTGATATAGAAAGATATTATTGCATGTACACACATTTTTGTTCTCTGTAAATGACACTGTGTACACTGGAAGAACTTGCCTGCAATTAGCTCGCAATAAATCTCTAAAATACTAACAGGGGAGAGCGCCATTCGTAAAATTCCATCAATTCCTTTTGCTAGTAATCGATATCTGAGACGTAAAATAATGTCGCCAATTAGAGTTGACCCACACCCTCGCATTTATAAGCCAAGCCCCTAATCACTGATCTACCCCACCATGCTGGTTTCACTATTTTTGTTCAAAAACAAGAATTGAGAAACTTTTCGCAGCATTACAGAGGATTAGGCAATAAACGTCTCTAATTCAAGCAAGAATATGGATCTCCAACAGATACCAGTAGACAGGGTAACAGGGTATGTTATTTTCTACAGTCAGGTATTAAAAGTAAGGCAAAGGCTCAAGAGTTCCTGCAGTTTTCCAGCTGTTCATAGAACTACGCAACTACTCTGAGGTTCACACAATTTCCTTGAAGTTTTTTTGAATTTTTCAAAACAACCCTGATGCTCACGGAACTTTCCGCAAAATCTTTGTAAGTCCTGAACTCTGGACTTCTCTAAAGTTTCCTGCATTTTCTTAATGATCATGGATCTCTCTGAAGTCCCCGAAATTTTAAAAATGCTATAACATTTTCACATGAGTTCTCGAAACTTCTTCAAATGTTTTGTAATTTCGCTGAAGTTAATGGAACTGCCTTCGGGTTTTCTGATCTTCCCTGAAGTACTCGTAACTTCTCTTAAATTCTTCAATTTTTCCTGAAACTCTAGGTACTGCCCTGAATTTAACTGAACTATCCTAAGAATCTATCAACTTCCTTAAAAAGAGGTTCTCAAAATATTTCTGAACTTTTCTCAACATCTTTGAAGATCTCTAGATTGCATGATAATTTGGGAGCCTCTCAAAGTTTTCCTCAATTTTCCTGAAATTAGTGGAATTGCAATGATCTTCCCTGAGGTTACCTCAACTCTTGAAACTGCCGTGAAGCAAACTTTTAAATGCTCCCACATTTTCCTAATGTTCGTGAAAATTTTCAGAAGTTTTTGAAGGGATATCCCTTTGAACGTCTTTGAAGTTTTTTGAAGTTCTCTGGACTTCTGTGTAGTTTTCCTGAAATTTAATAACTTTCCTGGAGTAATTTTTATTTACCTGAAATGTCCGAAGATTCCCATTATTTTTCTGAAATAAGCACGAAATAATTAATGTAGATCTTAGATTTTCAATTAGGCTCTCGAATTTTTTATGAAGTTAATGGAGTCTCCCTTAGGTTAGATGGTAAAGGCGCAGCTGAAAAGCAAGACTGGAGGCGGTTCGATTCCCGGTGTGATCTATTAATTTTTCGGGTTGGAAAATTTCTCAACTTCGCTGGGCATAGAGTATTCCACATAATTATACTAAAGCAAAAATAGTACAGGCCTAGAAAACTCTCAGTTAACAATTGTGGAACACTTAGTTGAGGGCCGGCGTAAAGTCCCAGTAGGAACTTAGTAGAGCCAACGAAGAAGAAGAAGGAAATTCCCTAAAATTATCGAAACTAATTCTACAACATCTGAAAATATCCCAGACATTCAGACTTTCCTGATGTGTATCGTGCTTTTCTGATGTAATTATAACTTTTTAAAGTTCAAATTTTTTAGTTGGACAATTTCAAATTGATGAAAATCATAGAAGAACAACTTTTGGCTAGATTTTAGAATATTTTATTAAAAAAAAGTTTAAAGTTTAACATTATAAACAAAAAATCAAAATGTAACCAAAAGGTTTTGTTTTATGATTTTTATCAATTTTAAAGTGTCCATCTCCAAAATTTTGCAAAAGTTAGATTTTTTTATGAACTGATATTTAAAAAAAAAATATTTAACAATGCAATTTTCTCTTATTTAATAGTACGTTCAGACTAGAGAGAGTCTAGTATAAGAGAGGAGTGGACTGGCTGCGCACTTAGAATTTTTAACAGAAATCTGTAAAATTTTACATTTTAAATTTTATGGCCGAATTTTAACTCAAATGTGAAAATGCTCAACTTGAGTCAACTAAATGTGACAAATCATGTGATTTCGACAAAAATATATAAGAAATCATCAAATTTAAAGTGAAGTGAAAATGGTAATCTGTTGTTTAATTGAAGAAAATTATATGCTTATTATGATTTTTGTGAGTAAAAATTCTGGCGGAAATCACCATAAAATTTCCGCGAATTACCACTGTCACTTGTCATTAGACTTTTGGGAATTGAAAGATTGAACATAACATTTTTTTTTCTTAAAATCTAAAATTAAGCCACGATTTTGTTTCTAAAACTATAAAAAATTAGACTTAGAAATGTTGTTTCAAAATGATTAGGTAGTTTTTTTCAAGTAAAATCTCCAATATTCTAAAGCAAGACAAATTTTATTATTCTGAAAGAATTATATTTTTAATTCTAATTTCCAGATTTTTATTGTTGAAGATCTCGGGCTTGTCATGAAATAAACTTCTAATTCCAAATTGAGGAGATTTCAAAAATTAAGTGTTTTCGAGAAATATTCAAAATACTACCTGACTAAGAAAAAAATCCAACACAATTACCTAGATTCGTTTCCCAAAACTCCAAAATATGTACCAAGAAAAAAGTGTACCAGCAAAATTTTTTTATTAATTTTAAAAGAATCGTAGAAAAAAATAAGATCTTCAATTAGATGATAGGTATTAGATTTGTTTTTTAGTTTGTGTTTTTTTTTATTAACCGAATCAATTCGTATCAAATCAATCATTGGCTACGACACCACGTTGGTTTTTAAATTCGAGCATGACATTTGCACGGTGTTTGTTTTTTTTTTTCTTTTTTTACAAGCACTAGAAGTACCAATGCATATATTCTTATAGTATCTTTTTCTGTTTCTCCCTGTAAGTACCTGATGAAAGCACACTAAACCAAACGGAAGAGAGTCACCTTTTGAGCGATTCCAAAACCAAGCTTACCGTAGTATAAAAGATTAGAAAGATTTATTTTCCACCAAGTAAACAATAAAAATAACAATTTTCGAAATTATCATCTTCTTATCTCTTTGCTGCTCCCTTCTTTTCATACAACCTCACTTGGAATCAATATGCAATCAAATACACTTTAAACATGAATATCGGTGTCGGAAACTGCACTTATTACCTAAATAAAAAAAAACCTCTAACAAACCTGCTGCTTAAATGGTACTTGTGCTATAACTTCATTAGAACCGGGTGAACAAGACGCTTCAGAAGAAAGGCAACTAATTGAGCCTGAGGGAGGGGACATCAACGAAGGCGAACCAAGTGACGTCAAAGTCAGTGACCCAGAGGACAACGAACTGGTTGAAGACGCACAGGGAGAAGAAGAGCAGAGCAATAATCTTAATAACAGTATGACTGACGATGCCAAAGCTAACGCAAATCATTGCCAAGAAACAGAAGTGATATCCGTTGAAGTACAAGCAACCAATAGACGTAATAGTAATGAACATCTACAGGCAGCTGAAGACATAGCCGATAAGAGTAACAGCAATGACACTAGTCAGGACGGCAGTGGCCAGCTGATCGAGTCTGTCGAAAGCAAACCGGAAGGTATTAACAATGACCAGCAGTCAGTTGGTAGCAAACTTTGGAAGGAAGAAAGATGACAGTTGGAGAACGATAGCGACAACAGAAGCAGCGGTAGAAGTAGCATCGTTATCGCTATCAACGACGACAGTCACGGAAACAGTGCTCACATAATCATTCGCGTCGAAGGCGATGACATGGATGACAGGAAAGACGACGAAACAGAGATCGACGTTGGAATCGACTCTGATGAAGAAGACGAGGATGATTCCAATGATCAGCGGGAACTATTACTGCAAAAAAAGAATGAGAAAAATAATCTCAACACAGACGGAGGCGGTGAACGGATTCGCTATAAGCATCACTTCGTAGAGGATGAGGAAGATGAGCAGGATGATGACATCATCGTTATCGTAGACGAGGATAATAATCTCTGTGGTGGTGGTGTTAGTGACGAGCTCTATTTAAAGCTTAGAGAAATGGGTTGGTAGTTTTCCTCCAAATATTATTGCAAACTAACGCAACTTTGAACATAAATATAGTTTTGCTAACAATGGCAACATTTCTATCTAAACACTAATATTGTTAAAATTATTAGCAATCACGGCAACAACTAACAAATGCAGAATAATGTGTACATTATGAAGCGTTTACTGACGCACCCTACTTAACTGATTTGTTTTTATTCATATTTCGTTCACAACAGATGACGAAGGAATCGCTGAGTCAGGAATGTAGACAACATGGGAACAAAATCCATCATCACCACGCGATTTGAGACATGATCTTTATTCTCAAACCGCGCAGTCTTAACACATAAAAACAACTCTCGTCATTAGGAAAATCGGTCTTAGACAAAAAAATAAACAAAATCCAATTTCAACAACACAGCTCCATAATAATCACGAAAAATTGTAAATATCGGAAAACTTTCGGCATCTTCTTAGAAAGAAAAAAAAACAATGTTATATCAGTGTACTGCTGCGTATTCCACCTTTTAAATGTCAGTAAACAATATTGAACGTGCATGTGCTATAATGTGATCGAGAATTATTTTCTTGACCCCATTGGACGGAGAATCAAACCAGAAAGTAAAACGAAACGCAGAAATTTTTACCGTATTTATGCATGTGCAATGGACGCTGAATCCAATTTTTTAAATTCTTTTTTGTTGTACATAATGTAAGTTGTATCATTGCAATTTTAGTTACACGATATTTTAAAAACTTACAATAAAAAGAGAAAAGTATCATATCAATCGACCAGGAGTGTGTTTCTTGCAATTCGTTAGAAAAGAAATTTCCTATTATTCCAGTTCATCCACATTTCATGTCGATTTGCCAGCGAGAGCCATGACTTTCGAGAAATCATCTAGAGAAGTCATTGTTTACAAAAGCTGTTAAGCCCTAATTCGAGCTCTATAGAGATTGCTGACGTTTATCGTACGCACACTACGTCACGTATACGTATACGCAAAATGTTTTCATCGGGAAAAAAAAACTTCATCGCAGAAAATTTTCCCGATGAAAACAAATCACTGACACAATCATACTTTAGCAATCTCTATGTAGAATTCGTGTTACGCCCGAAAAGAGGTGAATGTAGACCACATTTGCAGCAAAAAAGGTAGGTCGAAAAATCATTCCTTACCGAGTTATTGATCTATTTATTTGACATTACCGAACAACACTACCACTTTTTGCTAGGGCACTCGCGAACATTACCAAAACCCACCAGAGAGTAAGCATTGCTTGGCTACTATGATCAATCTTTGTTTACTAACCACTCTATTCAATTCACGCCACAGTAACAATCAATACGAAACTAACGATTTTAAATCGGCTCACTACTTGACTAGCCTATGAAAGTTTGACAGATAAAATGAGGGGTTTGTGGATTTTCCTATGTTTCGAGGGTTGCATCGATTAGCTTGGGACCGAAGAGAGTACTAGAGCTGAGCCAAAAAGTTGAACACGTTTCTTCGGGACCTTCTGGTCTTAGAGTTACCTCTATGCTTCCATGCTTCCTGTCCATGCTCCGATTTTGTCCATATCCGATCTTATTTATCGAGGTATATATACATTTCACCCACAAAACGAATGAAGATCGTGATTTAATCGTTTTTCTTATGTATGGCCACGATAGAAAACTATGGCCGAAACTGGTCCGCTTACCCTAGTGTGATTGATCTTCTTTGCTACTTATTACTTCCTACTGGTGTCGTAACAACATCAATTCGACCAAGGGTCTTATTAGATTAACTCTTCTGACTAGAGTAGTTTCTAACAAAAAAAAATGTATTGTGCTCTTCATAGCTTTCTTGAACTATTTTTTGTTGGAAATGGGCTTCTTTTGATCTGTGTGTCCTATTGCGTCCCGAAGATGTTCAACGGGGTTCTCGTAACTCGTAAGACCAGAAGCTCCCGAAGAAACGTGCTCAACTTTTTGGCTCAGCTCTGGTACTAAGCTAATCGATTCACCCCTCGAAACATAGGAAAATCCACTAACCCCTCATTTTATCTGTCAAACTTTCATAGCGAATCAAAACAAACAGAGCGTAGTTCTAGAATTTTGACTAGAATGGGGTACGTTAATCGATTTGCTTGGGACCAATAGGCTAGTCAAGTAGTGAGCCAATTTAAAATCGTTAGTTTCGTATTGATTGTTGGTAGCACCATAGAGGTAACTGTAAAACTTGAAGGTCCCAAAGAAACGTGCCTAACTTTTTGGCTCAGCTCTGGTACTCTCTTCGGTCCCAAGCTAATTGATCCACCCCTCGAAAAACAGGAAAATCCATGAACCCCTCATTTTATCTGTCAAACTTTTATAGCAAATGAAAAAAAAACATAGTGTAATACTAGAATTTCAACTAGAATGGTACGCTTATAGATGTACTTGGGACCAATAGGCTAGTCAAGAAGTGCGTGCGTGCGTGCGTATTCCCTCTAACCCCCTCTGACCGGCAGTGGTATTATGGAAGAACTCTCTCTACAATGTCGCATTTATGGGCATTGTAGACAGCTTTAGTCCGGGAGTTAGAAAATGATAGCTCTATTGTAGATCCAGCAACCCATTTCAGAATGTCTGGAGAGTCACGCCCATTCCGAGGTTACTTTCACTTAGCCCCGCATGTAAGTATTACCTCTATCAATTGGATATTAGTATTACACACACACTTCCAGTTTCAAAATGTTCTTTTGAATCCTGGCACATAAGGGGAAATGCAGGTAATGTCGGCCAATGTATCCCTAATTTGGGCCCATACATAAATTCAGCAATAGACTAAATTTTCAATAGCAACCAAAAATATCCATTAGTAACGTCTCAATAACGCGTTCATCCAGATAAAATTGATAAATAGCCGATTTTTAGCGATGGGCCCAATCTTAGATCCATAGGCCAACATTAGAGACATTTAGTTTATTTTTTTTAATTATAACAAGTATTTGAACTGGTCTCACCTTTGTCGTAATAGTTCCTTCAACGAACACAAATTGTCTTGCATTGGCATGGTCATCTGGGAGGAGGTTCCCGTCTAATGGAACCCCAGGAACCCTTCGCGGTCACCAGCTACCACCCACGAGGCATTTTTCATATTGCTCGCAATCTTCGATACCGGCGAGAGACCAGCAGCCGAGCACTTTTGCAAGCGGAAAACTTGCTGATTCACGGCAAAGTCGGCTACCGAATCACCACCAAAACTCGCAACGAACACATTATCAGCACGTTCCCGGGCTAAATCACCAACCAAGCCGGGTTCAAACTCGCCCACGGTGACGAGTCTCTCAATAGAACAGAACTACACATCGAAAATGTGGCATCCGAACTCGGAGAACCGGGCTCTCGGGAGGCAATTTTCGACATCGAACAATGAAACTGAAGCTGCGTCTTAGATTTTGGAGGTTAGATTCAAGGTCAACCGAGTCTCGCAAGGCAAACACAGGCAAGACACGATATATCACTAAATGATAACTTTATGAACACTTGAATCTAAATTTCAGCACACAAATTAACAAATTTAAAACAAAAAATATTTAATTCGCTGACGAAAAATACGCAGCAAAAGAAAAACACGTCAGCTTTCAAGGCCTACTGCGATCTTTCATGTCTCGTCAAAGTTGTGTATCGTTAGAACAACACCTCCGCAGGTGAAAGCCGTTGTTAAATTTATTTCGATTTTACACCCGGCCTCGAACTACCGTTTCCGTGTCGATACCAGTCGGTTGTTAGAGCCTCGACCAATAGACTAGTCAAGTAGTGAGCCAATTTTAAATTGTTAGTTTCCACCGGTTGGTAGTACCATCACTATTGGTCCCAAGCAAATCGATTAACGTACCCCATTCTAGTATAAATTCCAGTACTATACTATGTCTAGTCTAGTCTAGTCTACACATACACAGCCAGTACTTGAAAGAATCCTGGAAAATGATAGAAATACATTTATCATTTTTCTTGTCATTATTAATGCCTGCTGCACATCAAGGATGTGAAACAAACAATAAAACGGCCAGGCCTACTGTGTAGCGTTTAGTTAATTTTTGTGGAAGTGAATGTTTACCATGTCTACTTAATAAGTATAGACAGTGGTTAACATTTAATCCACAGGTAATCAAAGAGCGGGGACATACCGTACCAACCGCTCCGTATGCAGGATTTGAAAATAGGCTATATAAATCGTTGGGAGTAAATGTACACTCCTTGGTTGTCCGATCTCCTGAGATGGAACACAGTTATTACCCCTTGTGTTCGAGCGTACAGTCCTCCCTCCGTACAAGCGTGGACGGCACCGCCCACCCACTGCCATCCCTCAATCGATCCAGCCGACCTCAGTCGAAGGACAACAGAGAGCGGTGTGCGGACGTAACCTATACGGAGGGAATGCTGTATTCGCCTAGGTTATAGCGCCCTTGCTCGCTATTCGTTATTCGCTGTCTACAATGAGAAGAAACAATGCATGAAATTTATAGTGAGTAATTTTAATGATATATATATATATATATATATATATATATATATATATATATATATATATACAGCAATTCCATAGAAAAAAGTTATAGTGGGTCTCAGAATTTCATGAAAATTGGTATAGTTCTTCCTTATCAAAAAATATTAGACTCGTATTTTTTTATTGCGCCATTAGGGTGACCATTTCCGTGTTAGGGTGGTCCAAAAAATCATTTTTTTTTCAAAAATGTATTTTTTCAAAAATGTATTACTTCTGAACCTCTTGACCGATTTTTACGATTGACCCTTCAAATGAAAGATGTTTTAATGTAGTTTTAGGAAAAATTATGAAACACTCAGAGATATTTGATTTTGTAGGAAAAAAATATGTTACAAATGCTTTTTCTTGATTTTCACTGCGAGGGTCTTCAACAACTTCTTATTTTAGTATTTTTAATTGAAAGATCATTTAATTTTACATAACATATCAAAAAATTAGCGATGTCGAAGAAGCAGTTTTGGAGACACAATTTTTTTTAAATAAAAAATTATTGTTCCGCAATATATGCATCACACGTGCATGGAAACGATGAAGACGCAAGGTAGTTCACAATGCGTCTCCATCGAGTCACAGCAGCTGTGACTAATGAAATCTATGACTAACTTACAAGCTGGGTGCAACATTCAGTTCAGCCTGGAGGCTGTCCATAAACCACGTAGACCAAGATTTAAACATTGCAGATCCTACCTTTCCCTTCGTATACTCAAATTTTAAAGCGTTTCGTTTCAATACTCCTCCCATAGGGCCTTTTCCATGACAAGTTGCGAAAAAATGCCACACGGCAGCAATGCCAAAATTTTTTTGCGTGTTGCATCAGTACCTAAGAGTCCAAGCTGTACCTCATAGGTATATCACTCGTTCGTAGGCAATGACTTTTACATAAGCTCCAGCCCAATAGGCTTCGCGGTGTTAGTGACATTTGGAAATGTTTGGTGGTGTTTGTATTTATTCGCAATATTCATCTATTTACCTGAAACAGCTGTTTGAAGTGACGTCATTGCTTACGAACAGGTGATATACCTATGAGTTACAGCTTAGACTCGTAGGTATATCACTCACTCGTAGGTACGATATAATGCTTCTCATAAAACAACGAATGTTATGAAAGAAATGATCAGTTAGAAATCAAAGTTTCCTACTAGAACAGTTGAATTGAAGAATATCTAAAAATGAAACGTAAGTGTTCAATGTGTGATGTTTGGATGTTGAGTTCATGTGCCAGAAAAATCACCAATAAATTGTACGATTATGCAG